AAAAATTGAAAATGCAGGGGTGGAAGGGGTTGAAAATCAGGACAACATTTCAGAAAAAACATATGGGTGGTTGTTTGCATCTTTCCTGTCTCAAAGTCGAGATTATTTTATCATCTCTATGAATGCTTTCCTTAGAGGTTATGCATTGAGCTAACATAGGCACCTGTTTAAATCCTCAGAAAATAAGCCAAAATCCGACACATACTGTCTGAAATCTGTTGCGATACTTTCCGTCCTCCTTTGCTATCAAAGTTATAGTGGATGCTAAGGTACACAGAGTGTGAATGACTTTCACACGTGTTGAGTAGAACTTGATATATAAAAGGATTAAAAGCCTGACATTCCCTTTCAGATTTGTTCTGCCTATTTTCAAAAATAATTCTTTTTTATTTGTCCGTTCATCATGACCAAATGCGGCAACGCATACCTTACACTGGCGGATCCAGCCCCCCCCCCCCCCCCCTTGGTGGGCCAAGAATTTTGTAGGGCCTAAAAATGGCCTTTTGGGGCATAACTTGGCCTTTTTGGCAAAATTACCACAAATTGGGCAATTGGGAAATTTGCCCCCCCCCCCTTGTTAGCCTCTGGATCCGCCAGTGCATTACATAGGGATTCATAGTATATGAAGAACTAAAAGCAACAATGTTAACAGATGGAATAAATATGCTTTTTCCGTCCCGGAAGATTTTTGAGTTTTTCTTTGTGGACACTTCACTTCAACTTTGGAGCTGGTCGTGTTATAAATGCATTCTGCATTGATTGGACATTCATCCAAGCCATAATCGCAGGTAAAATCCTGTGAACTGAGCTCCAATACAGCATTTTTATCCTCGTGTCTCTTGGGAGACTTGCAGGTGAAAGTTGTTTCTATAAACACGTGAACTAATCTCTGTGACGGCATCGGTAGAAAATCTATTAATTGCATATAATTCTTAATGCGCTGAACTGTTTCCTTCATTTGGCAGTCACAGTGTAAGGGATTTCCTTGAAGTCGAAACTCTTTTGGCGATCCAGATATAAGAAATACCAAAAATTCTGCTGAATCATTCGAGATTTTTTCAATGAAATTTTCATTGAAATAAATAATGTTATTGTATGCTAGATCCAACGTGAATGAAAATTCATCTTTTGGAACTAGTTTTTGTTCACCAGATTGCCAAGAGCATATGTCATTGTGGGAAAAGTTGAATGTTTTATGAATGGTGGAGTTGCTTCCTTGTAGCAGCAACAGAAAGTCCGTTTCCAATGACGTAATTGCATTATTACTGACGTCAAAGTTAACAAGACTAAACTGGTCGACCGTGAATGCTTTTTCCAACGTGTGTATTTTGTTATCGTTTAAAATCACATTTTTAATACTGCCAAGTCCATGGAATACTCCAAATGGAATCGTTTCGATCTTGTTGAAACTGAGATTGATTGTTCTCAACAATGAATTCTCAGCGAATGTCTCATTGGATAGTTTTGATATCTGATTGTGGGATATATCAATTGTTTCCAAGGAGACCAAAGAGTCCAGATCTGGCATCAGTTGCAGATTGCTTGAATTCAAGAGGAGATGTTTTACGAGTTTCGGTTGAACTATAATTTCGCCGAGCTTTATAATTTCATTTAACGTTGGCTGACATTCTATCTTCAACGTGTCCTCGTCACCTTGGCAATCACAGTCTTGCGGACAGCTTTGAATCTCCATGGCAACTGTTGCTTGAAAACCATACTGAATTATAACTATAGCCACCAAAATATATTTCACATATATGATATGTGTTTCCATCTTTATCTAATTTAGAGAAGAGAGTATCTACCCTACAGCGTCTTCACCCAATGCTTGCAAATAAACATTAAAAAGCGGCAATAAAAATATTTTTATTATGACCCCACTTGTTAGTCTATGTGGTGAAACCTTTAGTGGGTGTAATGATTGACTTCACCAATGAGAAACAAGCATTTATACAAGGAAGTAGAAAATATTCCAGTTTTAAACAAACACAGTGGTTTCAAATTGAAACATTTGTGTCAACAACATGTCTGAAATCAGATTTCGGCGAAATTTCTTTTTTAAATTCAAAAGTCAACAACTTATATGTCAAGAGTGTATAAACATACCCCATTCTCAACACGTCGTACAGACGGTAGCATGAAGCTTTAACTACGAGGGGTGATCAATAAGTAATGGAATAAAATGCTCCATGTGTTATCTGTAAAACGAATCGAGTCGAAAATCTTAAAAAGATTTTCATGAAATAAATATAGGTTATTTCATGCTTGATTTTCAATATGAATTTTATTCCAGGGTAATATGATATTGACCGAGGGAAATATGATATTGACCGAACGAGCGTAGCGAGTGAGTGTCAATATAATATTTAGCGAGGTCAATGTCATATTTCCCGTGGAATAAAATTCATATTGAAAATCAAGCATGAAATAACCTTTTTATTCCATAATTAGATTTTTGAGAATTCAAGGAAAAAGATATTTCAAGAAAATTGAAAAATTGACAATTTTTGGAAAAAATGAAAAACTGATTCAAAATTGAATTTTTTTTAAAAAAATGAAAATCTTTGAAAAATTGCTATTTTTTGAAAAAATGAAATTTCTGATTTTTTTTTCAAAAATTGGAAAAAATTGGAAAATCAATTTTTTTAAAAAAAAAAACCTTTTTTAAAAAAATAGGGACAATATGATTTTTTTCCAGGGACAATATGATTTTTCGAGTATATATGATTTTTTCACAGGGACAATATGATTTTTCGAGTATATATGATTTTAAGAGGGATAATATGATTCTATTTCCTAGGGAAAACAGTAGTATTATGGAATAAAATTGGATTAGACAGACCTGATTGCACATAATTATATTTTTACAGGTTCCGATGTATTGTGCATTGTATTGGAAAATAACAATAGTTTGAATTTACTTTATATTTCGAAAATATTACCATCGTCGGTTCCCACGCTCAATCACTACGTTCTGATGATAGGTCCGAAGCTTGATGAAGCAAGATGAAATATTACATAAAGCGCTAAATAATTATGATATTCTATAAGGATAATAATGTTTAACATCACATATTGTATTTCATCGTGCCAAGATGAGATAAGAATTATCTCCTAAATTGTTATATGACGCATGAATTCAAGCAGGGCACAACGAGGAAGGAGATTGTCACGTGAGGTTTCAACTTTCACAATTAGCTTTATACTTCGGAACCTTTTCTTGCTGAAGTGGTTATGCCCAAAGGAAATTCAAAATAAAGTGCCAGGATGTTATATACAGTACATCGATCATCATTTTCTCAAATGTTGATCCGGTGTGCGTTTTGATCTGCCCGCATAATATATAATAAGTATATCCCCTAGGTATCACGAAAAAGAACAATGCACCCATGCGTTGAATATTACATGCTCACATTTTGTGCATTTTGACAAATCAGTTGCCATGGCGACTGCCTTTGTTTGTAAAAATACACGTTCTCTCTGCTTGAGAAATGTTTCTCATATGACCGCTGAATTCAAAATAGCTGTCATTTTTCTGAAATTAAGTAATTTTAACTCAAAAACCATGCAGTTATCATTTTTGACAATGGAAACCATACACTTTAATACTATCAGGGTTTGATGCCCTATATGTAATATAGATATGTGTAAAATTTGGATAAAATATATGGAATGTTGACAAAACTAGAGATCAATAACCATGACCCCATAAATCACAGCTGCGACTTTTTTGAATTTTTGCTCATTTTTGCTAATTCAATGAAATAAGTTATCTAAAGCAAGAGTCTTATAATATTTTCAAAATTAAATTATGAGTGACAATTAAAAAAACTCGAAGTGGTATTAGAATATGGAGATATTATAAATAATGTATCCATGGCAAGCGTTCAGTCTCTGATCTAGCTATAAAGTATGAAATTATTAGGAATATGCCAGTGATTCTTATGCCAAAGCTATATCTGGTAGGCTAATGAATTGCTTAGACGTAAGCTAGACGTCCCAAGTACCAAGTGGTTTCCAACTTGAAAAGACTCTGATTGATACAATAAGGGCAAAAATACTACCAATTGTCAATTTTGGCATCAAATGCTTAAGTAATACTTTTAAAAATAATTTAGATTAGCAAGTTATATTGGTGTTTGTGATGAGAAAATAATATAATCCGTTGAATTTGCAAAAATGATGAAAAAGTTGCAGCAGTGATTTGTAGCGTCACTATGGTTACTGATCTCTAGTGTTTTTAATATTCCATATATTTTATCCACTTTACACATATCTATGGTAAATATACGGCATCCAAGCATGATCGTATAGTAGGGTATAACATTATTTACAAAGTATGCACAATGAAAGATTATTATATTTATGTTAAATCGTAATTTTAACCATACACTGAGCATAAATCAATTTTGAATAAACCAATCGATTCTTAGAAGATGAATAAAAATAAAAAATTTTAATGATCTGTTTTAGATGATGATCTAAAACATCAATCTTTCCATCAATCTGTAAGCAAGGTGTAAAATCTAAGCAAAATATGTATTGATGCCTGATTTAATGTATGCACTAATGAAGATGTTCATAAGCACGAGTCAATAAAATAAAATAATCTACTCAAAACTCAGAGTCATGCATACTTTAATTATGTTGGCAAGGCCACCGCCAGACAATTAAACATAACACAGTTACTTTTCCAAAAGGTATGAATGCCTTTAATTAACAGACATGGTGGCCATTTTGAGATACGATTTCAAGCAATGTTAATGCCGACATCATCACCTTTCAAATGGTGTATCGGAACCTTAGGACAAAATGCTGTCATCAATTTTATGGACTTGGAATCGTTTGCTTGATTACTTTGTACAAACACGTCAAACAGCACGTGTTAGTTCCATATTGTTCTGATAATTAGGGCAGGGCAGTGAGCCACATTTGGCTTCCACCACATATAACAGGCCTCCATCTTCGTTTATTTTTTGCTCATCTACAGTTATAAATGATTACTTTGTACAAACAGCACATGTAAGCTCCATATTGTCTTGATAATTAGGGCAGGGCAGTGAGCCACATTTGGCTTCCACCACATAAAGCAGGCCTCCATTTTTGTTCTCTTGACTTGCTTCATCAGCTTCAGGTGCTTCATCAATGCATATAAATTCAGACTTCCGATGAGTATGATGTTCACTCATCAGGTATCCATTGTATTCCTTGGTCCACGAATCAGGGCATGTTTTCATTGCAGGGAGCATAAAATGGCTGCTCCTCTCTGGTACCCTGCACACAGCACACACTGCTTCATGGTCATGTAGCCAAGTAGCTGGTTTGGTGGGGTCAGGAAAATTGTCAGTGAGAAATGGGTTGTTACTATAATTGACTTCATACTCAACTCCATAAATGTATGCCCCAGACTGTTCGCCAGCTGTGGTCTTCCCCCACTCAGGTTCCCTGGGAAGACAAAGATAGTTGCCCCCTGACCCTTTATGGGTATAGTGTGACTTCCCTATTATACCTTTAAAAAGAAACATAGCACTATTGTATGTAATTTACTTCATTCATTATGTTCTCATTCTAATTTGGCCTTTACTTGGACTTTACTTTTATGCAGTATATAAACTTACAAATAGAGTCTATTGCTACAAGAGGCATTGTTTTTTAGATCTCTGAAAGATGGATCCGTTATATTAGACTGTGGACTACTCTGATAATTGCAACTTCTACTTTTCATGGAAGGTCACACATTCCAGCATATTTCAAACAGTCTGTATGATTATGCTGGGCACTTTCTGGGTAGTTGGACTTCATGTAGGGGTGGCAGACGGCCCTCAGGCCAATTCATACCCCCACCCCAGGAAAACCTTGGGGGTACTTTAATACCACCTGATAAAAAGAATACTAATGCATGTTATACATTCATAGTTTTATACGTAGTAGGCAGGGCATACCATGGTTAGTCAGTGCCAGGAATGTCCAATCTCTAACTTATATGGTTACCATGGAAACAGTATTTATATCTCAAAATCTTCTCAATTTGACCTCCTACAAAATATGTCCCTTTGCCCTCAAAGTGAAATATTTGCAAATTTGTTTGGATTTTGTGGCTATCACTTTGTCAAAAGTTGTATAAATATGTACATATTCACACTAAAGCACTAAAAAGTTGATATAATGCTCCAATAAATCAATAATATTTATCAAATATAGTCACACACAACTACTTTTAGGGAAAAGTGGGCGTGGCACTTTTTGGTACTTGTGTAATTGTTGCAGCATTAAGCGAAAAACACATATTACGCTAACAATAATTGACATTTAATTATCATTTACTAACATTGTGTAACATTGTAATATGTTCATTATCATTATTAGATACTTAGGATATTTTATGTAAGTGTTATCATGAACTTTCCCTTTATCCCTATACCATACAGGGTGGGCATCACCAATGGTGTCAAACTAACTTTTCTGTTTAACTTATTTTTTACCATAGACAAGGGAAAAAGCTTTACTTGAAGTGGTGACCTCATTAGGTGCTATGTATATGGATAGATGGATTGATACTAGTCGGTAGATGGCAGCACTTGTGCTAGTTGGGCTAGATACTAGTATTTACCATTGACTTGACATATGTCACTTAGTCTATTGATTTACCATATTCGTTCTGTTGGATTAAAGTAAAACTGCATTTGCATTGAATTTGATGATGTTCAGATTGTGTTTGAAACTTAATGATAATCAGAAGTGTTTGAAACTGGATGTTGTTCTGATTGTGTATACATGAACTTTAAAAGGACCACTGAAACAATAAGTCAATGTTTAAGATTCTTTAAATTTATCTCAATGAGAATTTAGCCTGTTAACCTAAAGTTAAACTATACTTCAGCAAGATTTCGAAGCTATATAGCAGATCTCATCATTTGCAACTTTTTCATTATTTGATAATTAACCCATTATTCATTATTGCTGATTTAAAAATTGCAAGGAATTCAAATGACCTAGGGAAGCCAGTGATATGAATTGGCCTTATTCATTGAGTTAAAATTAAAATGGAAAATTGTGAAGAACAAGAGAACTGTTCCACAGCTTCACAGGAAATATGGAAGCAAAGTCAACAAGGGATGTGGGAACTAGGCTGTTAACATATAGAGATTCAGAATTCTCCAGGGAAGTGTCTCTATTTGGTATAAAATACAGAGGTCTATGCATGCACACCATTTTAAATATGAATCAAAATTAGTGGTATCCATGTTTCTGGTGAAAACATCAATTGAAAGAGACAAACATCCTACCCCCCTATGGTATCAAATATAAGAAAGTTCGAAGTAGTAAAAAGGTATTACCATTTTAGATTTGATTGAACAAATTGAATCAGAGGCAATTTTTTAAATTCTATGGAGGGCAATACCTCCTCATCTTTCAATGATTTTTGCATGATATGATATGTATTGCCCGCAGCACGTAGGGCAATGGTAAAACATGTTGCAAAAATCATTGAAAGTGCAGTTGTCAGAATCCCCAGGCTGGCAATACGCTGGGCAATACGTCTTTTAAATATGCCAATAATTCAGGGAGCTGTGAAATACGCTATGGTATTTTTAGTCACATGGTACTGAATTAGCCAATCAAATCACATGATTTATAGCAATGATGTAATAATTAGTGCTACTTCCATGAACACCCATTTTGTAGAATAAGATTCTGATTCTCGTATTTGGTATATATATATGAATAAGATAAAAAAAAATCCAGTCGATCATATTGTTGAGCATCAAACAAAGGTACAAGCTATATATCATTTCTCAAAATGGCCACTTTACTGAAGAAATTGTCAAAGGATTATATGTATCAAGTTTTAATGTATTTACATTTAAATATAGCTGTCTTAATAAGTGCACATGATGAAAATACAGGCACAAACAAAATGCATACTTTCTGAAACCCTGCGTTTGGATATTGATAAATTGAATGATATCGGCTAAAAACTTCTGTCAGAATTTCAACATTTCAAAACAGCAATAGCTAGAACTATCCTATTTGACAGTATGGAGAATTGGGGAAGCCTGACAGAGAATCATCACAGAGGTAGAAAGATTTGATAAAGAAAATGGAGTTTTGGTGAGGGAGGGGGGGCGTGTAATTGTATACTTGTTTATAAAATTTATAAAATGACATATTCTAGACAAGGATAGGCATTTGGCATCATAAAATATGAGAGATAATGACTCATAAACTTAAACTATGGAGATTTGGGGTAGTAATATGGAACATACAGTATATGGAAACTGTAACCTTATAAGATCTTGTCCAATTACTCAGATGCGAGTAGGTAGTTACCAGTTTCGCCACCAAGTGACTGATTCGGGGGAAATAACATGGTAGGGTATTACAAAATTCCCTTGAACTTGAATATTCATCAGTTTTAGTGATTCACTTTTCATATTACCCATATAATATGTATGTGATAGTTATACAAATTAAAATATGTCCAGTAAAAGAAAATATTATCTGCCCAACACAAGAAATGATATTTCACTTTTTGAGGTCTATGGGGAATCTCCCCAAGCTAGAAGTCACATTTTCAAAGAAAATTAAATTTTCAAAGTTGATAAACTCTTTTCAAAACCACATGATGTAATTTTACATGTAGATTCCAAATATGACATCAGGTTGACACAACCAATTTTAAAATTGAATACGAGAACAAGATTTCTTATTTGAGGTTATATTCATATGACATAACATATACATAACATTTGATATTAAACATATTTACTTTTATTGTTTTTATACACTAAAAAGATTTGTTTAGATATTATTTTAAGTTTTAACATAACAAAGCACTTTCCATGTTGAAGGAATCACTGAAGGTACAGCATTTCAGAAATGTCTAAATTGTTTATATTTCTTTATTTTGTGAAATACTAAAAGGAGTTATACCCGAACCTTGTTAACCATGAGTCAATGAATGCATTATATAATATCTGGAAAATGATGCACTATGCAATTCATACATGGAATAATTTATTTTGCCATATTGGAATCAAGTATTATCTTTAATCCATTGGATAGGTCATGGATTACCTGATGTTGATGTATTGATAATAGAATCAGTTAGTCAATTGTAAGACCATTTATCCGAGAAAATAAGAAATCTTAATTATGTATTAAGGCAGGGCATAACATTTCACCTATCATTTATTCATGTTTACTACATCTATAGTTCCAATGTCATTTAGCCTGATTTGGTGCAAATGTCAAAGCATAAAAAATATCAAAATCGACAATTACTGTCCGCCATTTTAGATGCGAAGGTTACGGCCGTTACCTTCGCTTGGTACTGATCAGTGTCCTTGCTCTGTTACAAATTTCCATTGCCCTCTGTTTGTAACCCCTCCCTCCTTCTCGATTAAGGTAATGAATATGAAGATGATTTAGAGGTAATATGAGAGATACTAGTGAAGGGTTGTTTTATGATAAATGAGTTCATATAACTTAATCCAAGTCATAACTGTTACTATATCTTGTATGCAAATCACACCACATCATACTCAAAGGATGGAACGGTCCATTACTTTTCAATTGCATAAAATGGCTCTAACCCTGACAGATATATTAATCAATTTTAACTCATAGCTCTTGATCAATGAAACTATTCATATTCTAGGTACAAGTCAATGAATACGACTTTGACAAACTAAAAAGAGTAAGGATCTCTAGGTCTTAAAAGTTAGTTTGACCATTGATGACCTATGATAGGGAAGGGCCATGATAACACTTATATAAAATATTTAAAGTATCTAATAATGATAATGAACATACTACAATGTTACAAAATGTTAGTAGATGCTAATTGAATGTCAATTGTTGTTAGTGTAATATGTGTTTTTCATTTAATGCTGCAACAATTACACAAGTACCAAAAAGTGCCACGCCCACTTTTCCCTAAAAGCAGTTGTGTGTGACTACATTTGATAAATATTATTAATTCATGAGATCATTATATCAAGTTTTTAGTGCTTTAGTGTGAATACATACATATTAATTCATCTTTTGACAAGGTAGCAGCCACAAAATCCAAACAGATTTGCAAATATTTCACTTTGAGAACTTAAGGACACATTTGGGACGGGGTCAAATTGAGAAGATTGTGAGATATAAATACTGTTTCCATGGTAACCATATAAGTCAGAGATTGGAAATTTCTGGCACTGACTAACCATGGCATGCCCTACCCACTATAAAACAATGAATATCTGATGTGCATTAGTATTCTTTTTATTGGGTGGTATTAAAGTACCCCCAAGGTTTTGTTGGGGTAGGGGTATAAATTGGCCTGAGGGCCTTCTGCCACCCCTACATGAAGTCCAACTACCCAGAAAGTGTCCAGCATAATCCTACAGATTGTTTGAAATATGTTGGAATGTGTGACCTTCCATGAAAAGCAGAATGCATTTCCAGAGCACTTCTACAGAATAGTCCGCAGTCTATATCCAAATGAAAGGGATTTTAGAGTAGACAGCAATATTGTATCATTTTTTCAGATATGTGCCTCGTAAACATTTTAACATTTAATTTAACAGTGTTTGAAATTAATATTCATCAAATAGAGCCAAAGTATATCATCGAAATTCAAAAAGAGCACCGAAAGTAATTTCTGGGGATTGCTGACGAGCGGGTGATATATATATATCCCGCTCACCTCAGATATCGATTATATTCCCGCATATTATTTAACTATAACACTACTAATGGGATGGGATTAATGACTTTATTATACTCAAATGAGAGACATCTTAAACTTAACAAGGGGAGTGTATGACGAAAGTATTTCATTTTCTTAACAATGAGTTTATACTGTTATTGAATTCCACTACTACCTGAATATACATTCTCAGCTGTATCCGGACAGGTGGTTCTACCCCACCTTACATACACTGCACCCCCGGCTGAAGGACCAGGCGGTCCTGGGGGACCTTGTACAGCAGATGGTCTACTAGTGTTGGTAACATCATGGCGGAGTTGCTCCAGTAAACGACTTATATCATTGGCCCATTGACCTTGGCTACTCAATCCCTAAAATCGTATTTGGCTTAAAAGGGGGGAAATCCTAGGGTTCAGAGAATACATGTGGCTTTATGTAAATGTGTATTGAGAAGACATCGTCACTGATTGGTCAAATCGACAGATAAATGGCGTCATTTAATGGCGGTTTCAACATTTTCTAACAGCGCTTCGAATAATATTATGTTCATTTCTGGCGTGTTAACCAATATCATAGCTTGTTATTTCACATCAAGATGAAGAAAGATGTAAGGATTATGCTAACATCGATTAAAACATCACAACGACGTGATGTATTCGGAAACTAGCCGGTGAAAATTCGGACAAACGGAGGTTGTAAACAAGAGACGTAATTATGTCATCTCTAAGCTCTGGCGTTTTTCCTCCTTTTATCCGACTTACCAATCAAACTGGGGAAAAGTTATTTGGGAGATTAACAGGAGTGGCTTTTTCTTAAGGGATCAATAGGAGATGTTGACGGGGCTTTTTATTAATTATGGCGTTCCATGGCCTCACTTTACAATAGAAATTAAAGGGAAAATGCTCGAGTAATCTATGGAAACTAATGCATATTTATATAATAAATCATCTTATCTTATTATGTAATTGGTGACGTCGTTTATATGATCAGTTCCGCATTAGTGGATACTTCATTTTTTAATTCGTATGTGCATATATGGATTCTATTCAGTCGAGCGTGTAATAAAAATGAATTTTCCGCCAACAACAAATATATACAGTATACTGTTATTTACTCACATCCCTCCCATCCCTTCCCGATGGGCCTTGAGGTCCCGGAGGTCCTTGTGGTCCAGGGGGTCCCATCAGTCCATCCCTGCCATCACGACCATAGCCATCTACATAGAACACGTTTGCAGACTAGATAACAGCAACACCGAGGCGTAGCAAATCCCATCGAACGGTCATGTCTTCTATTATTGGAAATTGCCGCCAAATAACCAAATTGTCATGAGTGTAATATTCTTCTTGGATTTTTTCAAAATGGCCGCTTACTAGCCAAAGTGTAATATGCGTGTTAGTATTCACAAATGAAATTTCAACAAAATCGCTGCAGTACTTCTCCTGTTAAAGCAATAACGTTAAAAGAAACAAGTGAAAATTGACCTATTTTTCAAAATGGCCGCTTATTAGCCAAATTGTCACTTAACGTGTAACATGCTTCTAAGAAGTCACATTTAAAATTTCAACAAAATCGCCCAAATGCTTTTGAGTCATAGTAAAAAACACATGTAAAAAATGGTGGCCATTTTGAAAGGACAAAATCGCTCCGCTACTTTTCCAGTCATAGCAAATATCATTAAGTATTGTGTAGCAGCCTATTGGAAGCAGCCACTTTTTTCAAGATGGCCGCCATGTTTAAAGAAAAAAATCCAACTTAAACAATATCCTGTATACGTTTTTTTGCATTTAAATCATAGTATTATTACACTTTTATATATCGTACTTAGATGCTGTAAAATTGACACTAAAATGGCAGTCATTTTGAAACCAGTGGTCATTTTCGAGCAGAACTTGTACTCATATTGGGCATAAGCGATCTTGGACCAGCGGTATTTGAGTTGTTGCCCGGAAGGACGGACGTACGTACCGGCGGACGGACGGACGGAACCGTTCTCTTTATCCCCCCCCCCGAACTTCGTTCGATGGGATAATTATACAAAAGGATCATAATCCCAGTTGAAATGTACTGAGAAATTTTGGTTTAAAATCCATTTTCAGTCTAGCAGCACAAGTTCGCAAGAACTGAACTTATTTTTGGTCTTTTACACAGGGATATATACCACTCTGTTATTTAAAATCGTGAAAACTAATAATACGAGTATAAAGGTTAAGTAGTTTGTATCTAAATGTTTAATGCACTTATAATTCAGATCATTTCAGACAGAATTCACAAAGCAACATAAGAATCACAAGCTAGACAATGATATGTATTATTACTGAGAAAAGGAAAATAACTATTTTATAAAGACAAGTGCTATTTACATGGGAATGCTGCTGTTGCCTCACGTTTCCTACGTTTAAGATGTGACACATTGTAATCTTCTCTCCCTTCCACAATGGCCCAGTGCTGGAAATAACCGAAATGAACAACAAATTAAATGTAATAGAAGTATTTACTTGGCACTCTACAAATGTAAAAATGAAAGACAATCACTTGACCCACTCACCCACAAAATTCCTACGTATTCCTCATTTGTCAAAGCTGTTTTAAACATTTATAGACATTTTTATGGATTTTAAACGGGAACTATTTGTCTATTTGAGACATAGTTTGCTTATAGGCAGAAAAAGAAGGACTTGGCAAATCAAATTCATATCACATATCATATCACATATCATATCATCATATCACATATCACAACTCTTAAAACTGATTTTGAAATATTCTTACCTTTATCTATGAGTCTATGAGTAAATAATCGCAAAATAATACTTATTGAATTGTTATTAAAATAGTTATTTACTTAGTTTTTAGGTACTGGATAAAGCATAAGAATGAGAATTTATAAGAAATAATACACCGAAGGCCGAAGGCCTGAGGTTGTTATTTCTTATCAAATCGAATTCGAATGCTTTATCTTACTTAAATCACACAGACTCTTATCACAGGCAAAGGGTCTATTATACTACAGTTAAAAGGTCTTTAATCCGGAAAAATGTGATTTCTTTTGTATTGACTATTCAAACTGTGAATTTTGCCAGGCTCACAATGACCCTGGCTCTTATTGGTTAAAATGTGTTGTTATATAGCCAATTAATTGTAACAACAAAAAGAGTTGGTTGCATTGACCTCATGAGTGTGAGTTGATCTAAGTGACTGAGTGGGCTATAATTAGTCTAGCTTCAGTGCACTACAGGCGACTGTCCAGTCCAGAACATTGAATTTGAATACAGCAGAATATTTGTAAGTAAGATAAAATCAATGATGTAGATAGCAACAAAAATTGATAAATTGTTTTATTCTAAAGAATGCACAGTAACAAGAGAAGGGTACATGTATTTTTGTATATTGTTTTTAGGGAATGAAAACTATCAAAAACTGTCAATGGTCATTTATGTCTCACTTGTTTTTGATAGCTTGCCAAGTGTACATTCTTTAAAAACAATAGAAAAATAATGCACTTTCCTTTTGATAAAACCATACATTCTTAAAAATAAACCACAGCAAATTCTATTGTGTTGCTACCCAAGTGGGATTTAAGATAAAAGAAAACCTTTTTCTAATTGATCATGTGAAGTTGGCATAGTTTATTTTGAATGAGATGCATACCAAATTTCCTGTCTCCAGTTTACCTATACGGATATTTAAATCTTCTATTTCATTCACGAAGCCCTCCTTCATTTTGATGAATTCAGCTTGTACAGAAGATAGTTCGTTTCTCATTTTCAGCAGGTCATCAATGTCTTGTACAGAAGCCTTATGTTGTTTTTGGAATTCGACGTATATAAACAATGAGCAAGCCAATGAAACCATAGCAAGTGTCACTGCAAATAATGTGATGATGAACAAAACCATTTTATCTTTACTTTCCATCTTCATCTTCGTCGGTGAAGTCTTCAATTCTAAGTACTGTTTCCCAATCTATTTGATTTTTACATTTAGATTTATTTTAACTTGAAAACTGTAAACAACTTTCTTCCTGGTATATTAAATTGCGATTCATTAAAGAAGCCGGAAACTTATAAGCGAAACATCTTCAATGTTTAGTATTGTTCTCCCTTCTGTTTCATTTATTTTAATTAAGTGTATTTAATCTACAAACTCGAGACAACTTTTCTTCCTGTTGTTAACTTGTGGTCTATTAAAACAGCTGTGAGGGGGATATCACTGATTTTGTAAGTATGGCTGCCCAAAAACAAAGAAATCTCATCAGAATATTATTATATCGGGCACAGGGTTACCCGAAAAGTCGGCCCATATTACCCTATATAACTGGCCAGTTTGAAAAGTATCGCAAATTCGTTACGCATCGTGCGCTTATATATTTGCACCGTTTTTTTCTGTTCGTGTTACGCGGTAAACACGACACAAAAAGATGTCATATTCCGCAACGAATATGGCATATTTACTTGCGGTGTATGACAGCTTCATTTGCGGTATATGGTATACACACTTACCAATGAGAACGTGATACGGAAGTACGCAATTGTCAATTGCATCGATTGAACGAACAAGTAAAACGTTATAAATTATTATAATGATTACTGAATCAACAGTACTGTGCATCGAATATATTAACTTAGCAGAAGTATCAGTCACCAATCTCACGTAATAAACTTACTCAATCGATCCAGGATTCATATATTAGTACTCGGCGCACTAACTATATTGGTAATCCAGCGTAGTTTTACATTTAGAGTCGATTCTCGCAACCAATCAAATCAAGGCTTTCTGTATCACGTTTTCACCTGCGGTATATGTCATATTCACCTGCGATATATGGCATATTCCGCAAGTGAGTATGATATATTCCGCAGGTGAGTATCGGGTATTCACTGAAATCAATGTATCACATATTCACTGCGGAATATCGCATACTCACCTGCGGAATATGCCATATACCGCAGGTGAGTATGGCATATTCACTCGTATCACAAATACCGCACAACCATGAATGCATGCCATATACAGCGTAACAGTTCGCTCAGTCTATATTAAGTCATATTTAGACTTGATTCATCTTCAAGATTGTTTAATATGCTGTTTGTTTTGAGAGTAAAATTCTTTCTTGGTGTTGATGATAATCATGTGACTTGATATTTTCTTTTTGAGGAAAACAAAGGAGGAAAATCCCTTAATTATAGTTAAGATCAATGAATATTGATATTGATATGCCCAAAAACATTTTATTATTGAAAATAAAGTTTGTGTACTTTTCCCCATTGCTAATTCAATTTCTGTTTAATTCTATATTCTCCCGTGACATGTCACAATACGTTTTTCTTAATTTTTGCTTCTTTATTTTATATATAGCTATGTCCATAAATATGCATATATGGATCATTAAATTTTTTGACGCTATTAACCCCAAAAACTCGTAGTAGTTGAACTAATTAAGTGAATATCATCCGCAAACTTATGTTTATTAACAGTTACCACTGGTGTTTAGGTTCAAATTGCTCTTATACCATACACAAACCCCACTTGGTGATTGATCTTATGGGGGACCAAGTTATTTGACAACCCTGGCTGGGATTTTAGAGCACGGTGATATCCTTGTCCTGGTATCCCTTTCTCGTTTGTCCGATGCATTTTTGTATCTTTTCAGCATCTATTCGATTTGACATTTGTTGGCCACTTTAAAAATGATACTTTTCTGAAAAAGTAATTGAATTGGGTTTCAAAACAAAATCAACATTATTGAAATCAGACAGGTAATAAAAAATGAATATCCAAATGATCCCCCTGCGACTTCTGCTATTAAAAATGTTACATACTTGAGGGGTATTACAACATCAATAAAGCAAAACACATGCAAAATAAAACACCAATATAGTGGTCATTTAAATGAAAACCGCACAAATACAGGGTGTTCCAAAAGTAACAGGACTGGTGCTGGCATTTTGTCAATTTTGCACTGAGTATCTTCAAATTTTCACAAATTGTACTTTGAAGTATTGCAACTAAAATTGTAAAGTTTCAGAAAAAATGATGAAATGCGGTTAGAGTTATGGTTACCATAGTAACATGACATTCCAATACCCGGGGCAACTTTTTTCCTGAAACTGTGATATCTAACATTTTTGTATTACTGAAGAAAGTATCTAATTCACCTATTATAATACAACATTTCTTGTTTATTTTATTAGTTGCTTTGTTGTAAAGGTGTTGTTATACAACTCAGTTTCAAGTATAATTTCATAATGATAATAATTTATTAACTTTTCTGGAATGTCATTATGTATAACAGTCTGAACAATTCACGGTTGAGTTTTTGAAAATACCCAATTTGAAGCCAGTCATCTACCTTGATAGCGATCCTGCCCGCAGGTCACCATTAAAGACCATGCAGCTATAGAGGAGCTGGGTCTTGAGGTCTAAAACCATGCACCATACTCCTCTGATCATGCAATATCTAATTTTTACTTATATTGAGAATGGAATGCTAATCAGTGCTGTAGGACCTTTACAATGAGAATGACCTTTTCCAAATTGTCCAATCGACCCAGCGTGACATGTCCTCAAATGGGTTCACTCATGTGTTTGGGTCATGGATACAGAGTATTACTCTTGTACTGACCAAAGATAAGCCTATTTTTCAAAGTAGAGGAAGCATAAGAATATCAAATGATGTAATACACATGTAATTCCCACCAGTTGTTGCATTTCAACTTTGATATGGCATGTACAAAATGATATGGCATGTACAAAATGCTTAATGTCTCTGTAACTTTTTGCGTGGAATGTTGCCCCGGGTATTGTGATGTCATGTTACTATAGCAACCATAACTCTACCCGAGTTTCATATATTTTGTCGAAACTTTGCAGTATTAGTAACGATACATGAAAGTACATTATGTAAAATTTTGAAGACGATTGGTGCATATTTAACAAAATGCCAGCACCAGTCCTGTTACTTTTGGAACACCCTGTATGACGGTATCGGCAAATCTTGTTAAGAATTGACCTACTGAACTAAATTCACTGCATAAACAACTGATCAATGCACTAGGGTACTTTCTGACCCGAAACAGCTGATATTCAATTTTGTTATATGAAGGTGACTTTGCAAAACGAATTGATTTATTTAGTGTTTACAATTTATTATACAAATGACGGATAGCACGTGCTTACAAAATGGGATAGGGACGCAAACTGGAACAACCAGAGTTTAATAGTGCAATATTTCAAGGTGAGTTTATTATTGTAAATGACATATTTTTGATACAGCCGCATCATTTGATTAATAACCTACACGTATCCTGTAAAAAGCTGCGTTGATTCATCCTCAAATCTTTTTTACTCATCATTCAACCTCGCTCTAGACACGTCAACTAAACTTATATAAATTCATTCCTATCTTCAAATTTGACAAACAGATCTTTACTCCAAGGATCACACGTCAGAGACGATTAAATACGAGGATAGAATCATAACTATACTACGATAGCAAAGAGGATCTCTATATATTAAAATGATGATATTCACGAACGATTTTTTGTTTCTAGTCTGCTATATAGGTAAACTTATTCTTTATTAAGTCAGTTACGCAATTTCACAAAAGTTGATGTAAAAGTTTAGGGTGGTGTTATTTGCACATTAAATCAACATATTTAATCTACTTATATAATGTGTAACAACCATATGGGATGTTCAAAATATTATTATTATTATTGATGGTTACAATCAAGTATCTCAAAGTTATAAGCTACAACTTCAGTTTAATTTTCAAGAATTTGAATGTTTTTTGACATTTACATAATTTGTGGCTATCAATCAACATTGTAATGTCCGGATGTCAAAAATGTTGAAGAATATATCTGAATAGAGGAAAAGGGGTTAATGCTCAAACACACCAGATGAATATTCATACACACATTCACACACACAATTTCCTCGACTGTCCACACTTTAAGTCCTCAAACATTATTCTGGTAAATTCATTTAATTAAACATCGTATTACTTGTATTTTACCTGTATAGCACTATTTCCACAAAATGTCCTAACTGAAGATGTGGATCTCAACCCAGAAGTTCAGACTGAGAACGGAAGGGTTCGAGGAACTGTACACTACACAATAAACAGCACTAAACCTGTCTACACATTCTACAGCATCCCATATGCCAAGGCTCCAATAGGTGCAAGCAGATTTGGAAAACCAACTCCTGCACAGTCGTGGACCGGAATTAGAAATGCAACGGAGATTGGCAAGTTCAATTTGATACTTTGAATCAATTTGAATCATTAAGGTATAAGTATAGGCTTGACACTCCTTCTCTGTATATTGGAGCTAGAAGGCAGGCTGAATCGGTATAATAAAAAATACTGAGAGTAGGTGGTGTCATGCTATAGTTTGAATACTTCCAATCTTAGTTATATTTCCTCCGTCTGTTTCGATTTTTTACTAAAAAAACTATGTCCATTTTTACAGCTCACGCATGCGTAGAAAACGGCCCCGTTGTTGAAATGATGCTGAATACTCCGTTGGCCTTGGACAATAGAATTCCAATGCCTCAACGCTTTGACATTTACTCTGAGGATTGCCTTGAACTAGATGTCTACACACCTAACACAAAAGGAAAATTACCTGTGTTGTTTTGGATACATGGTGGTGGATTTAATTTAGGTATATGAAAAATATTAAGTACAACATATTGTTTTGAAGGTGTGAAAAAACAAATCAATTTAAATATAGCTACTAATGAGTAAACGAATACTAAAAACTTACAGATTGATACACAACTTTTTTATTTTTGCAGGTTCTGGTCACATATTCAATGGAACTGCTTTGTGTACATTCACAGACTTAGTGGTTGTCTCAATCAACTACAGGACAGCTCAGTTAGGTTTGAAATATCATTCTAAAAAGTTCATTTGTAGAATTTTGGTCGATAGTGTATCAGATCTAGATAAAATATATGATCTGATAAAAAATGAATATTCCAGCTTTGAATTATGTATGTGATTCACTCTAGTAAAACTATGTGATCATATTCAAATATCAAATTGTAAAAATTATCAAATTGTGATAGATGCAAATAATGTGATCTCTGATTTAGGATTCCTCAGTTCTGGTGATGACCACTTGCCAGGTAACATGGGATTCTTTGACCAAGTTATGGCGCTTGAGTGGACTAAGACGAATATCCACGCCTTCGGTGGAGACCCTGACAGAATAACGCTAGCAGGAGAAAGTGCTGGTAAACGTTGTATATTAGTCTAGAAAATGAAAGATGAAACAAAAGCATTGGGTATTGTGTCACTCAAGATTACATAAATCAGTTGTTAAACTCGGAGCTTGAACACCGGTTACACTCATTTACAACGTTTCCACTTTCACCTAGTGAGAATGAGATCTGTGTCGCGTGCACTAAATGTCTATAAAGCAGACGAGTAACAGTTGAATTAAGGATTAAAAAGCAATATTAAATATGAATAATTATAATAGTAGCATAATATGTTTAGTAAAAATTGCAATATGACTTCAAATTTATGCAAAATAAAATAAAACTTCACTTTAACCATTATTGTTGATAATAAGTTTAGACGTTTCAACATAACATTCTTTTTGCAATCTGTCTATTTATAACATATCTTTTTAATCGTTAAATATTGTCAGATAAAACGCGTCACTCATGTTTCATTTTATGATTAGGAAGTTGGAGTGTTTCTGCACATCTTGTGTCACCGCTGAGTAAACACTTATTCAGGCGAGCCATTCTACAGAGTGGGGCAATTACCACTGACAAAATTATAAATGAACATCCAAGAAAACGATTTGATGACGTAGTAGGACAAATAGGTACATATGTATGGTATTTAAAAGGGAAGCTTTTTGTGTGAAAATATACACAGGCTTTTAATACGATCTCTAGAATAAACAACATTTAACATAAATAGATGACAATTGTAAAGTATAAAATGTTAATTTGGTAATGAATTGATATTAAACTGTTCAATGTGTTATTTTTCTCACAGGATGTGCGAATGAAACATTAGAGGACACCATAGAATGCTTACGGACGATATCCATTGATGAGATTTCCAAAGTTGGCCCTTCTTTTCAATCTGATTGGCCAACCGTTGATGGTGAATTCCTCCCCGAGCATCCGAAGAGCTTGTATCCGAAGACAGACTTCAGTGATAAAGATGTCTTGGCCGGAGTGACAGCAGATGAAGGTTTCATCCTTTTAAGTATACCATTGGGTAAGTATTCGAAGAAAGTGTATTCACAGTTCATGTATGCCATTGGGTAAGTATTGGGAGAAAGTATTGGGTATTGTTTAAAAGTGTATTCACAGTTAACCATTGTGTAGGTATTGGTAGAAAGTGTACTTATAATAAAATTATACCATTGTGAAAGTATTGGTAGAAAATGTATTTAAAGTATAAGTATAACATTCGGTACATATTGATAGAAAGCTTATTTATAGTAAAATTATACCACTTTGAAAGTATTGGTAGAAAGTGTATTTATAGTATAAGTATACCATAGGGTAAGTATTGGTAGAAAATGTATTTATAGTAAAATTATACCATTGTGAAAGTATTGGTAGAAAGTGTATTTATAGTATAAGTATACCGTTTGGGTAAGTATTGGTAGAAATCATATTTATAGTAAAATTATACCATTGTGAAAGTATTGATAGAAAATACATTTATAGTATAAGTATATCATTGGGTAAGTATTGGTAGAAAGCGTATTTATAGTAAAATTATACCATTGTGAAAGTATTGGTAGAAAGTGTATTTATAGTATAAGTATACCATTCGGTACATATTGATAGAAAGCTTATTTATAGTAAAATTATACCATTTTGAAAGTATTGGTAGAAAGTGTATTTATAGTATAAGTATACCATTGGGTAAGTATTGGTAGAAAACGTATTTATAGTAAAATTATACCATTGTGAAAGTATTGGTAGAAAGTTTATTTATAGTATAAGTATAACATTGGGTAAGTATTGGTAGAAAGCGTATTTATAGTAAAAGAATACCATTGTGAAAGTATTGGTAGAAAGCGTATTTATAGTAAAATTATAACACTGTGAAAGTATTGGTACAAAGTGTATTAGTATAAGTATTGGTACAAAGTGTATTAGTATAAGTATAACATTGGGTAAGTATTGGTAGAAAGCGTATTTATAGTAAAAGCATACCATTGTGAAAGTATTGGTAGAAAGCGTATTTATAGTAAAATTATAACATTGTGAAAGTATTGGTAGAAAGTGTATTCATAGTATAAGTATAACATTGGGTAAGTATTGGTAGAAAGCGTATTTATAGTAAAAGTATACCATTGTGAAAGTATTGGTAGAGAGCGTATTTATAGTAAAATTATAACATTGTGAAAGTATTGGTAGAAAGTGTATTTATAGTATAAGTATACCATAGTACTGTAGGCCCGTAGCCAGGATAATGGTGAAAAATAAATAAGACAAAACCAACGTCATTGCATAGAAATGTTTTGCTGTATTAGTATTGAGTAAAAACAGTTTCAAATTGTATTTTATGAATTTCAGACGTTGACCAAATTCCTGCCAATATGAACAATCCTTATGGAAGATTTATACTGGATATCCAACGAGGTCTTACTATTTATATGAAAGATGATGCGATAACCATTAAACGCGTTGAAAAGATTGCTAAGCAATACCTTAAACGCAATCTAAAGAAAACGAAGAAAAAGCAATTGAAGAATAATTATTCATCAGAAATTCAGGAACTACTCAGTGAAACAGCTATTGATGTGATTAGTCACTTTACGATGTATTTCCCAACTCTCAACATGACTAGAACTATAAAAGGTGTGTGTCACTTGTGTTTTTAATGCGTTAGTCTAGTATTCTACTTTATTTATTCCAGAGACTCTTCGTCGTTCTGTATCTGTATTGAGTCAAATCATAAATATATAAGCACTAGTGCCAAAGGGAAAGGACTAAAAGTTGTAATGGAACTTAGCAAGAAAAAGCAAACTCTAAGTGCATACCAGTCAAGAAAAACAAACCCCATATAGCCCAAAACCATTATCTAACGTGAAAAGAAACAATATCTAATACCCCCTTTTTGTATTGTGACATCTAAACGAATAGCAACATGTTTGAAGAACGTTTGGTAATTGAGATAAAAATCAACCAAACTCTGAATTCAATATGTCTTTTATGATCCTTTGTTCCTTTGTGTTCGTTGCTTGCTGGTTGCATTACATTATCAAACACGATAAATCTAGATTCGTTTGCCATTTTATTTACACATTAAAGTGCATAATAACAACTACGTTACGTAATGTTACATAACACAAGTATAATTGATTACATAATAGTAATTATTAATTAATTCAAGTTGGCCAAAAACAAATATAGCCCAAAAACATGACCAGATTTTATAAATTTGATGTCATGTAGGCCCTTTTGCTATTCAATTTGCATTGTTTTCAGCAAATGGAGGGAGGGCGTACTTTTATCTGTTTTCCCACACGCCAAGTTTTGCCCCTATGGAGAGACCAGCATATGTGGAATCAACCCATCTCGACGATGTCTATTTTCTTTTTGGAACCGGATTCTTAGATGTTTGGGTAGATGAGGAAAAGGGCTATGTTTTTAATGAAGCTGAAAAAGAGTTTAGTAAACAAATGATGCAATACTGGGCTAACTTTGCAGCTACTGGGTAAGACTACAGTCTGGTTACCCCCTTAGTCATTTGAGTGGTTCGTGGGGTTCCCTGACCAAGTTACGGGGGTAGGAATGATCATCGTCAAATGAAAAAATCATTTTTTATTGTCTCTAACAAATCATTATTATGAACAAATCAGAAACTACCAAACTGCATCTTAATAATGGTAAAACTTTCGGAGGAGAGGGGCACTCATCCATTCGGAATGGAATTTCCCCTCCAACATTTCTAGTGAGGTCACTTAAGGTTTTGCATCCAAAAATCTTAAGGCGGCCAATTTTGATTTTCGGTTTTTAAATATTGGCATGAAAGTCTAAAACTGATATTTTAGTCATTCTGAGTAGCCTCTCCAGATTAGGATTACCTCCTTAAAGCTTGTCTGCAAAGTCTTGTCTATGAATTGTCTATGCGAACGATTGTCTTGTTTACATTGATTCCGAATCACTATATTTAGTATATTATTGTCATACTTTGATATAATAATCCTATATACTCTGTTCAAGGGTGCAATGTTATTCACCCTTTCAAACCCTTTCATTTAAATAGCTTAATACAAATTCATTTTTATTATCTAGAGTGATAAATAGATGAAACGTAATGCCCTTGGAAAAATCACTACCCTCATCTTTGGTCTAGAAAGTGATTAAAATAATTAGCATCCTTAACAAAATATATAACTGTTTTTCCCACCTTTAAGTAACAATATGTTACATTCATTGGCTATTGTGATTTATTCCAGAACTCCTAATGGCGAAAATCTCCCAACTTGGCCAGAATTCGAATTTGATACTCAGCAGTATTCAGTACTGAAGCCCAATCCATCGTCCTCTCAAATTGTGCTACAGGCGAAATTCAAATATTGGAAACAATTCATGGCAAGAATTGAGGCCGAGAGAGAAGCAAGTCAATATGAATCTATGTAGAATTGTCTGGGTACATCTACGATTTTATTTGTATTAAGGCCAAAAGGGCAAGTTAACCTTTGGTAAACTGAAAGGCATTTTGGTTGACCATCGTATATAGTGACACTGAATATATAAAATGACATTCAAATCAAAATCTAAATCTAAATGTGTATGAATTCCAATGATTAGGCCACTACTACAGCAAAAAGTGAAATAAAAATTGAATCCGATGTGACTTCATCCATTTTGTTTTAAAGACTCTTTGTAACGAGTTTGAGACCAATGATATGGTGGAGAAACGGACCATGTGGAGACCAGTACAAACGCTGCCTGTCATGCTTCTTCGCTTGTATTCGCGATTGCAACTAACACCTATCGGCTACCGAATTAACGTACAATAATTGGATTAATGAAATTATAAACAGTTTGTTGAGGGGAGTAGTACATATGAAAGTATAGGAAAAATGAAGTAAGAATGATCCATCCCCTGGACAAAGATCACATGACTGATGTTAAGGTCAGGAGGTAACTGGGACTTCATTATTCCACTGAACTTCAAAGAAGTATGACTACTGAAAACCACCCACAACCCACCCTTGAAACAAGAAATTTAGGGTAAAATAGATAACATTTGAACATGTTAAGGTAAGCAAAACAATAAAATATCTTTAGGACATATGTCCCACCCTTATTTAATAAGATTCAATAGATGATTAGCCTAATTAAGCTAATTAATGTTAGAATCAGAATAAAGTGACTACTATTCATATTTAAATGATTTGCCCATAAGATTGCAGGTAAATCCGGTAGCCGACAGGCGTTAGTTACATTTTCGAATACAAACTTTTTCTAATGCCATTTTTAAGCTAGGAAAATATTTTCATCCATTTTTGATTCCTTGGCTCCATCTTTTTTGAAAAAAATATAACATCTTCGGCCATCTTCGTGATTGAAACAGGTGCAAAGAATAACATCACGAGTGTACTTCGTTGAACTAAACTATAAAACAATTGACTTCAATTCAGGAATGAGATTTGTCTAAATAGAAAATGAAATTTAAGACTAAATCGCTCACATCAGTGTTCAATGCTAATTACGCAAAACGAGCTATGGCGTATGCTTTCACTGACAATGACTCTTAAATAAAGAGATGTCGATTTTAACAATTAACTGAATGTTTTTCCTTGTTGTAAAACTGTAAAGTTAAAAAAACAAATAGAATAAGTAATATTGACAAAATATGCCACTTCTTAAATGGCACTAATTTAATACAATTAATTATGAATAATACTAAATTAAACTAATTGGAAATCCATAAAAGGAAGCATTTCTGATTTGATAAAACTGTGAATATTTACAGAGGACTCCGTTAATCAATGATTTTTTTAATTAACAGAATAAGAAAAATTTATGCAAAAAGACAAGGCATTGTCTTGATTTCCCATTTCACCAAAAGTGTTTTAATTTTGTACTTTCATCTACAAACATGACTTAAATTTGGTTTACATTTTTGAATATAAAAACATTAATGTTTGACATACATATCATTCAGGGTTTGGAATTTATCTTCAAAAAACCAAAACAAAAAGTGTACGGAGCGAAAACAAACTTCAATTATATTTTTATTTCCCTAATATGCAAGTAAATATTCACATATTGCATCAGGTTATATCAAAGTGGTAACGTACTGTACTTGCTACATGTAAGTACATGCAAAATACTGGATAAAAAGAATATAACTCAGTCCCTGTCTGAATTGTCACTGATGTTTGAAGGTCCTTCACAATATTCATATACGGTACATAGACAGTTATTAAAGTCTCATCCCAATCATGTTAAGCGTGCACTCCTCAAAGTTGGAGCACTGCAGATGAAAGTAAACATTGTGATGATGGACGCCAAATCGGGGCTGGTATGTCACACCATTCATCGTTGGGGCACAAAACGCTATTGCGGTGCAGATGCTGTTCCTGTGTAAATGAGTATAACCAGATCCAACAATCCCAGTCTCGCCCAGTTTTACTTTTGTAAACAGACAAGGTAAATACATTCTTCTTTTATTTATACTTTCTAACACGCTCCATTCATTTTTCTTGAACTAAGGTTGGTGTTTTCATCTTCATCTTCATCATCTTCATCGTCATCGTCATCGTCACCGCCGCCGCCACCGCCGCCGCCACCGCCACCGCCACCGTCATCGTCATCATCAATCATCATCATCATCTGTGAAAGGAATTATGGTCCCTCGGGGATTATGGTCCCCCTTCTGAACGGCCCTTACTGGCCCTGATTGTGTATAAGATAATAAAGGAAAGAGGTCACCATATAAATCAATGGAGAGTAGGACCATAATTTGATAGGACCTCCTACCCTTTTACACCTGTTAAATACACATATACCTCAAAACATGTGAATTTGTTTAAAAATCAGTCACCGCGACCAAGCATGACTTGTCTAGTTAAACTTGTCTTATGTTATGAGACAACAGATTGACTTTTACTTTCGATAATACTACAAATGGCATATGAATTGTCTTTATTTTATACAAATTAATGACATTTTTGATTGATATAGATTTTTAATATACCTTCATAACATGCTTTAGTCGACGGCTCGGGGGCTCTTCTAAACCATTTCCGCTCTTAAGCATGTTGAATTACAAATCAATAAAAGCAGTTATGTACGATCGGTTTGGATATGGAGGTTATCCTTCGTAAGATATGTACATCTACCTTCGGTAACTCAGGAAGATATGCGTATATCCCTCTGAATAAACCCAATATTCAATACCTCCCAGCACATATTCATTATATATTATTGATTTACCTTATTTTCAAAGGCTTACGGATAACTCATCCCCGAGACAACTCATCCCTGGACAACTCATCCCTTAGAAAACTCATACCCCGGACATCTCATCCCCTGGACAACTCATCCCCGGGCATCTTATCCCCTAGACAACTCATCCCCTGGACAACTCATCCCCAAGACAACTCATCTCCTGGACAACGCATCCTTTATAATTTGGCTTTATGTGATAAAGGATGAGTTGTCCAGGAGATGAGTTGTCCAGGGTATGAGTCGTCTAGGGGATGAATTGTCTAGGGGATAAGTCGTCTAGGGGATGAGTTGTCTAGGGGATAAGTCGTCTAGGGGATGAGTTGTCCAGGGATGAGTTGTCTAGGGGATAAGTCGTCTAGGGGATGAGTTGTCCAGGGGTGAGTTGTCGAGGGGATAAGTTGTCCGGGTACCTTTTCAAACATAATACGCTTAAAAGTTTTTTGACATACTCGGCACCAAGAATCGGTGCCCAAGAATTTTATGAAGCCATTGCTTACACCCCAGTCACATTTGTCGCACGGAAGCCGTGCATCGACCGCATATCAATTAAATCAGTGAATTTCTGCGGCGAGCGTAGAAAAACTACGCTCGCCTTGCGGTCTCCGTACGGCGTATCCAGTTTTTTACAGGCCGCAGGGCAGGGTCGCCGTAGAAATTATAACTCGGAGTTATAATATTTGTTCATTTCTGAGGTCCCCGTAGAAATCAACTGGCTCAACAAGATTGAATCATTATTTATCAATGTTTCACGATCACTTTTCATTTGATATTACATCCTAGCACTATGAATAACATTTATAAATTGTCCTGATGTAAATAAAATGAAAAAAAGTATAATTTATCAACAGAAATTTAAAATCCACCGTGCGGCTGCCGTGGGAAATGTGACTGCAAAAGTATGAGAGCGCAGAAATTCTGCGGCGAGCGTAGAAAAGCTACATGCCGCAGAAATGATAGACCGCAAGGTCGCCGTAGGAAATGTGACTGGGGTGTTAACGCTCAACATTTTCAAGTAACCTATGATTCAAACATATTGTACATAATCTTGAAATTCAAAACAGAAAAATTGATGAAAACCACGTGATAGAAACTAAAAAGAAACATCCTGTTTTAATGTTTCTCGATCAATTCCCCAATTAATAATGATTTTTCATTTGGAATATGATGAATTTGATATTCTAAAGTAACAATCATTCGTTATTAAATTAACTGAATGTCTACCGGACAAACAGAACGAAGTATAAAATCTAACTGCTTTGTTGATTTTTTCACATCTTTTGAAGCCTCTAAAGAAAGCGTTTGCAGATTACTCTAAGGTAAGTGATCATAGATCTTCTATCATATTGTTATATACGTATGTTATAAGTAAATTACTATATATTGAAGTCAACGATTTTGTTCTGACATGACATTATTTTACTAAATGTTCTAAAATAGCAGTAAATTTTTGTTTTTATATTGAAATGTTAACATGACATCATTATACTTCATGTTGACGTTTTAACATGATATATAGTAGTTCTAACATTGCAAACGTTGGGTTTCTTTGTGAACAGACAGCACAACACTCCGCCGTTATGCTTGTTATAACTTCGCCAATGCGATCTTAAAATCAGCACAAACCCTTATATTTGACACTTCTGTATATTTTGGTTTCAGAAAAACATCAATGATGAAGGTTGTTTTGGTTCTCGTACTGGTGGCTATTATTGTCGTTGCTGATGCACACAAAAAAGGGAATAAAGGCAAGAAGAAGTGTGCTAAAAAATGTTCCAAAGTAGCAAGAGAACAAGTGAGAATATTTTAAAGTTTTGTCCAAAAACCGTGGGTCGAAGTTTATTGCAATTGAAGCAAAATAAAAGTCTTGGACCCATGATCATTTTAAAGTCGATCTAAAATGTTTTAAGAATCCTCATTAATGACAAAATGTATTAATGTATAAAATATCAGTATTTCCTCGACTTTTTGTCTGACCTTGATAGCTTAACAATTTATAAAATAACCAAACTAAATGGACTTTGTCTTGTACTGTCACACCCTTGTTGATACAGCCCCCCATCCCACTTTGTAATGTATTTGGTCTAACATATTTATAAACAACCACATAAAATAATACATATATACATATGCATATATTTATATTTTCAGTATCGGGTTGAAATCGAAACACTCCAAGGCCAGTTGGACGCGGTAAGTAACAATAGATTGAATGACACGCAGCAATGTAGCTGGAAAGATCACATCTGACTATAATGATTAAGAAAAAAACAGTTTAATTTTTTTGTTCTACATTATTCTGTTTGGAATAAAATGACCCATCTTAATGCCTAGGTCATATTTGTTCCGCTTCATCGGTCGGCGCCCGACGATTGCAGTATTTTGTTCAAAACTGATTTCAGCTTGCTTCAAATTGACCATTTTTAAAAGAAGGTGTATGTAGAGGTTCTCAGGAGTTTATATCTGACCTCAAAGGATTTGTATCGATATGGTGAACTTTTTGAACACACGTTTCTCTTAAACCAGTCATCAAAAAAAATTTACACGTCGATTTAATGGTCATCTTTTGAATGGTGACAATATAATTTGAAATATATATATATATAGACCATATACTTTCATCTATATTGTTTTAGAAAACACATCAAACACTTGTTTTGTTCTTGGTAGCATGTTTCCAGAGTGAAATGAAACATCTTTCCGAACCTCATTGGAACAAAACGACATAAACACAAGGTGTTTAGGTCTCTCAATATTGTAATTGTACAAAGAAAAGTTTGGTTGATTTCAAAAAAGTATATTGTTCATGAAATAAAAGGTTTATCTTAATTTTTATCTATTTTGGGTTTTTGTTTTAATTTTTGAACACTTTTTGTTGAATCAACCAAAATTCCCTTTGTCTAACTATAATATTGAGAGGTCTAAGAAAATATTGTATATGCCATTTTGTTCCAACTGCAAGGTTCGGAAAGATATTTTATTTCATTCTTAAAGAGTCACTATGCCATAGGACAGCACAATCAAGACCCCTCTGGACTTTTTTGCATATTGAGTTTCACCACATAATACCCAAATCCCCCTCTTTCAGTGTTAATTTTGCGATTGTGTTGGCCGGTCTAATTATTTTCGAAGAAATTAATTCAATCTAAAATTTGAATATTCTGGGGAAGTACTCCTGTTATCTGATTGGTCGTTGAATTTGTTAATCATAAACCTGATTGGGTCCCTGGTTCAAGGCGTTTGTGGGCGCTTGTGTGACTCAATGGGGATTCCCCTCGATAGCCGAGGAATCGATTGTGTTTGATTCTGGAGTTTGGCTGTTCTGTTGATTATTTCTGATATTTCGGCAATAATATACCCAAAAGTTAATCTCAAGATATATCCATGGTATGTGAGATATTATATGAGCAATAACAAAAGGGCATCATTGATTGTCTGGGGGAGAAACCTGTGGCATAATGCATCTTTAAGAATTGGTAGAAAGGAACAAAAAACAATTGCACTTAAGAACAAAAAAATGTTAACAAAAACATTTATATAAAATACATATATTTTCGCATTAAAAATTGTTGTCGATCAGTCAACATTACATAAAGGACTGTGTTTTTCACAGAATGTTTTCATTGGTTGGTTTAAGAGAAAAAACATTGTTATATTCAGTTGACCGTATCGATGCCAATCCTATGATATTTGACCTTCAATTTTGACTAAATCGGCCGATGAATTGGGGCATATGTGACCTAGGCATTAGTTACAACGATAAAACGAAAGAAATGAGAATAGATGAAGCCGGGTACAGATTTTGACTGTAAAAAGAGTTTTATGCAATAAACCATATTGTCCGTAAATTAAATGTTTTTTTTCTTTTCTTATGTAATAGACTCACCTATATAACTACGTTTGGATTATCAAAAAGTGCATATTGTGCATTGAGCTTGCTAATGTTTTGTAATATGGATTTCTTGGTCTCCTATAAGCTCATTATTAATAATGTGTATATATATTGGCAGGCTGACGCTGAAATCTCTAACTTGGAAAGTGAATTTGCAGGGGTAAGCGACAATATGATAATAATTAATAAAATACATCAATGTCCTCATGTCAGTTATAACATGAATTACTAGTATTTAAAAAGAGTACGAGGGTTGTCCCAGAAGTAATACACTGCTCTAACTTCATGAATACTTAATATTTTTTGTATGAAAGTTTCAGTGAATGATCTTTGGAGATATTTTGATTGCTCTTCAAACTTTCATTTCGATTGATAATACCATGTTGTTGTTATAATAAAATCAAGTTGGTGAGTTTGGGTAGGGTCGGGCAGGTTTTTTGTCATGTGGCAGGTAATAAAAATTTGAAGATATGAACTAATTAATCGTCAAATACCATTTTGTGTAGCTATAATCAGTATTCTTTATATAAATAAAAAAAATATGAAAATAAATTTCACTAGTTACTAAATTATTAGTAGCATCTCTTTGATTTAATGGATATATATTTACAGTATCAGGCTGGAATCGAAACACTTGAAGGTGAGGTGAACTTGGTAAGTAACAATGATCAGTAACAGTTTTGACTTTAATAAGAGTTTCATGCAATATACCATTTTGTTCAAAAATTAGATGACTTTTCTTTTCATATATGATAAACTGACCTACATAAAAACGTTCGAACTATCAACATTTCAAAAGTGCATATTTTGCCTTGAGCTTGCTAATGTTTTGTAATATGGATTTCTTGGTCTCCTATAAGCTCATTATTAATAATGTGTATATATTGTATATATTGGCAGGCTGACACTGAAATCTCTAACTTGGAAAGTGAACTTGCAGGGGTAAGCGACAATATGATAATAATTAATAAGATACATCAATGTCCTCGTGTCAATTATAACATAAATTACCAATATTTAAAAAAATTATATTTATACATTGATTGAGTTTAAAGCTAATTTTTGGTAATTTTGGTTAATGATTGAGTCAGTAATATTCATAAAAATCTCATTAAATGATGTGCTTATATTTTCAGCACATGGCTACGATCGATGAACTAAACGCTAACTTGGCTACGGTAAGTAACGATTTAATGAATGACACGCATAATTGTAACCCAATATTAAGTTCAAATCTAGTTATGATGGTAAAACGTGGAAATGTTATATTCTATGTTGTTTGGAATAAAATGATTTATTTGTTAAACGATACACTCATCTATCAGACCGTGTTTTTATTGCACATAATTTATTTATCTTTAATTTCCATAAGCATAAAATAGACGAAATGTTTTAAAAAGGCCGGTAATATTCATCAATGTACACTCCCCTCCATAAGTTTGGCAACCTTTTTTCCCCCATTGAACTACGTGTTAAAGCCTCTTTACCTTTGAATTTTTATTTACTTAACCTGCGATGAAAATACTTTTACTATTGATGGAAACGTAATTTCACTTTAATTCCAATACCTCCAAATTTTCTCAATTTTTTTCCTTAATTACATTAGGTCGAAAATTGATGATGAATTTGATGAATTTTTGAAAATCGACATTCCCATGTTAACCAATGGGAAATGGTAGGTTTGCCGCAAGTCATATGACAGAATATCCATCCATCCGAGTCCTTGCAAAAAATACGTGTTAGGCAGGTAATTGAATTTGCTAACTTTATTTAACAAAAAATTGATATGTTTCTTCAGGTTCAACAAAGTTATAGGGCTTTAAAGTCAAAATTGTTTTTCAAAAAACCTCTCCCATTGAAATAACACAGGAGGCGAAAAATTATTTTCAAAAATGACTTTGAAGCGCTGTAACTTTAATATTCATCAAATAAACTAAACACTCAGTGTTCAAAAAGTTAGATAATTCAATTTTCTATATGAAAATATTTTTTGCTGAATCTTTTACTGAAAAGATATCCTGATTTCTGATTTGCCCCGAACCCTCCATTTCCCATTGGATTACATGGGAATGACGATTTTCAAAAATTCATCAAATTTATCATCAATTTTCGACCTATTGTAATTGAGGAAAAAAATTGAGAAAATTTGGAGGTATTGGAAATAAAGTCAAGTTACGTTTCCATCAATATTATAAGTTATTTCAACGCCGGTTAAGTAAATAAAAATTCAAACGTAAATAGGCTTTAACACGTAGTTCAATGGAGAAAAAAGGTTGCCAAACTTATGGAGGGGAGTGTATATATGTATATATAGTGATCGATTTGCATGGCCCACCCTGTATATACTGTACTACACGTTTTTATATATTTACTATACTACAACATATTAAATAATCACACTGTGCCTAGTCGAAATATGTGGATTCAGTCGCACATGTTATGTATCATAAGCTCAAAACTTTAACAGCAAATCGAGGTAAGTGATTCCAGAGTTTCTACTTACCTTTGTGTCTTGAAATCCTGCAAACATATTCAATATTATAGCTATATAGTTGACAATACAGAAAAGTCTCAGCTACAACATTTATGTTATGGCGAAGATATTTGAACAACATTCGTAAACGAAAACCTAACATATACGGAAAATGCCGATTTCAATAAGTAACAGGTCCATCAATCCACATGATACATCATACAAGTAGTTAAATTGTTTTTTCAAAACGGATATTTCATACCACAACCCCAAAAGTATTATAAAAAGCGATGGATTTGTAGCTTACTTTACACAAACATATTGAGAAACATGAAATAATTACTTGAATTTTCTATTCTCCATTATCACAGGCTGGTATCGAAAAATTTGTCCGCTGTGACAGAGCGTGCTATTTTGCATAGAAACACTAAGAAACCCACACAATTTATTTTTTTACTCTTATGTTTCGCTATACCAAAGAAAGTTTCTTACTCCATGCAATGGGTATATCATTTGCGGGTAACTTTAACTTTTGTTTGAAGTCCAACAACGCTAAGAGTAAAAGCTATTGAAAACGGCTCCGGGGTATCATACTCCAAAATGTACCATTTCGTTTATTTCTTTTTAATGGTACAATATAGTGACACGATAATATTTACATATGTTTTCAGCATAACTCTGAAGGTATTAATGATATCTTGATGTATTGGGTATTTTTAATATTTTTTATAAAAAATAATGTTTACATTTTTGTCAGCTGTGACGGAGCAGTTTTAACTGTGAACTACGTTAAGAATTTAAGATTCAAATTATACCTTTTAAAAGTACCCTTACAAGAGAGAACGCCACAAATCACTTTCCTAAATTATGACAAGTAGCCTCTGGGAGATCTGGGGTAATGTAAATCTGAGATATAAAAACGACCACTCTTAGTATTTTTCGGAGGTTTGTACTGAAATCAACATGAATCAACATGGTGTAAACCTAACATAATATTTCTAATACGTTTTCGCCAAGACGTCTTGGAATGTCACGTGTAGTGTAAATTGTTACGCGGAATATGGCATACATTCATGGTTGCGCGGTATTTGTGATACGGGTGAATATGCCATACTCACCTGCAGTATATGGCATATTCCGCAGATGAGTATGCGATATTCCGCAGTGAATATGTGATGCATTGAATTCAGTGAATACCCGATACTCACCTTCAGAATATGTCATACTCACTTGCGGAATATGCCGTATACAGCAGGTGGATATGACATATTCCGCAGTTGAAAAACGTGATACAGAAAGACTTGGTTTGATTGGTTGCGAGAATCGACTCTGTATGTAAAACTACCCTTGATTACCAATACTGTCAGTGCGTCGAGTACTAATATATGAATCCTGGATTGATTGGGTAAGTTTATTACGTGAGATTGGCGAGTGATACTTCTGCATACGTTGATGTATTCCTTAAATTGTACTGTTGATTCAGTAATCATTATAATAATTTATAAAGTTTTACTTGTTCGTTCAATCGATGCAATTGACAATTGCATACTTCCGTATCACGTTCTCATTGGTTAGTGTGTATGCCATATACCGCAGGTGAATCTGTCATACACCGCAGGTGAATATGGCATATTCGTTGCGTAATATGGCATATTTTTGTATCGTGTTTACCGTACCGCGTAACATAAATAGGGCTAATATGAATTATTTATTCGAAATAGCGACACAGACATCCTGCATTTCGACAGATGTATAACCTTCTACCACATAATATTACTGTATATAAGTTACCATAAAAAATGACCATGTCAGGTGATGGATCCACAGTAGGCACAACGAAAGGCAAATACCCTATACTGAAATAAAGTTGACTATCATTTTCATGAGTTACCATGCATAACTTGGATTACAGTACAAACTGAGAAAAGAAGCTTAAAGAGTGGTCGTATATGCATCTCAGAATTTGAATTGTGTACTTTTATTCCGTTTTATTTTTCAGAATACTTTACGAAAGAGATTTGATACGCTCCCTCCTCTAACGTGTAGTTATAAAGAGATATATTATAAATCTAAATTCTTAACGTATTTCAGATTTGAAACTGCTCCGTCACAGCGGACAAAAAATTTAAACATTATTTTTTATAAAAAAAATTAAAAATACCCAATACATAAAGATCTCATTAATACCTTCAGAGTTATGCTGAAAACATATGTAAATATTATCGTGTCGCTATATTGTACCATTAAAAAGAAATAAAAGACATCGTACATTTTGGAGTATGATACTCCGACGCCGTTTTCAATAGCTTTTACTCTTAGCGTTGTTGGACTTCAAACAGAAGTTAAAGTTACCCGCAAATGATATGTTCATTGCATGGAGTCAGTAATTTTCTTTGATATAGCAAAACATATGAGTAAAAAATAAATTGTGAGGATTTCTTAGTGTTTCTATGCAAAATAGCACGCTCCGTCACAGCGGACAATTTTTTCGATACCAGCCTGTGATTATAAGGTAAATCTATGTCAAATTATATATACCTTCTCACAGCTGTGACCTATGATAAAACTGGTCAGGTGAACTCGTTTATCAATTTGTCGTACCAATATCATGGAATGTGTGTTTACATCGTAGCTACGAGTTCAATGAATCAATGAAATACACGGATGGGTCTTTTGATTATTTAAACAAAAAAGTACAGAGGTATGAACTTATGAATGATACATAACATGTGAAGGTGTTACGCGGTAAACACGATACAAATATATGCCATATTCCGCGTAACACAGGACTGAATGCACGGATTTCGACTAGTCACAGTTAAATCAGATAACGGCACTACCCTGCATGCTAATGAGATAAACACTGTGTAGCAAACGGCAGGAGGGTTATTTCGCATATTTCCCAGTTATAAGTCTACCTCGATGAATTATGAATGGACATTTTTGCTATAATTTGCAATAAATTTTAGGACATAAAAGAGCAATATGTTGCTGATGGAATGCCTCTGTTCCAAATGAATTTGTCAATTCGAAAATGCTCATTCCTAATTTATTGAGATGGATTTTAGTGTCGCATGCCAACAATTATTCCAATGTTTTGCTTATCACGATGCAAACCAAGTGGTGATTAGTGGCTTTAATATTTTACTATTGTTAGTTATGTTCATCAGATATTTACAGTTATATCCAGTTAACATGTACAAGCATGTATCTGTATACTTCATGTACTTATAGTGATTATTGATTAAACATTTATATTACAGGCTCAGGATTCTGTTAGTGCTAATGATGCAGAAATTGCCGAGCTAACAGCAAAGACGCTACAAGTAAGATATAAAACATTTGAAATATATATTAAGGCCCGGTCACACCGCCTAAACGTTGCTGGAGCGTTCCTTGAACGTTAAAAAAAATCATCAACGCTCGTAAACGTTCACCACCGTTTAACAAAAGTTGGCATCCGTTAAAGCAACGCTGTAAACGCTCGGCCAACGCGGATGTTTCTCGAGTGGCCATCCCAACGCTCCAAAAGTTTTGAGCTGCTCAAAATATTGCGAGCGTTGAAAAAGGGACAATTTTACGCCCTGGCAAAGTTTATCACCGCTCCACCAACGCCCAGTCAAAGTTTGGCACCGCTAGACGCAAGTTCGTGGACGCTTGAATCCGCTAGACCAACGCAGAAAACTTAAACGCTGGACCACCGCTGCTTCGCCAGCGTTGCCCGGGCGGCGATTAAACGTTGCACAAACGTCGGTGGAGCGGTTGTTAGCGTTTTATCAGCGTGCATGGGGTTGTTGGAACGGTGTCGGACGTCGTCGCAGCGTTCCATGGCGGCGATGAACTTTGCTTTGGCGTTGGTATAGAGGTGTCGGAGCGGGACCAGAATTTGGCTATAAATACGTGGAGAAATGCACCACTGTGTAGAACACTGTGGAGACACTTGTGCATTTTACATTTGATATATATTCATGTCTAGCATTTCAATTTTTTGCATTGTAAATTCCTAAATTAAGCGCTCAAAGTTTGTGATTTTGGATTTTAAAAAGGTGAATTATGCGATTTTTGTTTTTCATTAAATGTTAATACAAATAGACTTTTACTGAGACCTTTATTCAAATATAGTATATACCTAGTGTTTTCACGTCAAGCAATTCAATAAATTATCTGTGAATTTTCTGCGCAGCTTGAAAAATGTTGCACTCGTCATGGTATTATACAAAAAGTTGATGCGCGCACAGCAATGCAAAAATTTGTCATGCGTCATGATTATTCTTTTGCTGTAAATGTTATTTGACATTGTTAAAGCAATTTGAACGTAAATCGGTTCCAAGTAATGGAAATGCAACGATTAAATTGTGATATGTTTGTTTGAAATGATATGAGCGATTATTAAAGAAAATTGTAATGTTATTCATTCTTAATGTCATATTACATTAATAGAAGCACTTTAGATTTAAAACATTTCTTCTTTAATCCTTGAAGGACTTTTGTTAAAGTTACAAATTCCAATAAAGGTCTTTACTCTTAAACACTTCCCACTTGAAATAATTTCCCAGTAGTCAAACGCGATATGCTGCTAAACCAACGCTGCTGCTATTTATACCCCCGCCGAGGCAACGTTCTCATGCGCAGAACGCCGCTATACCAACGCTCGCATTACCGCTAAACAAACGCTAGCTACCGCTCGCAACCGCTTAACCAACGCTAAAGCAACGCCGGCTTTAGCGGTGCACCGCTAAGCCAACGCCCGTGTTTTTGTTTTTTCCCCCATTTTGTGCGCGTTGACGAGCGTTGATGAATTTTTTCAACGTTCAAGGAACGCTCCAGCAACGTCCGGGCGGTGTGACCGGGCCTTTAGCTAAAGAATTTACCGAACGAAGCTATAAAGTAACAGTAAATGTAAAGTCAATCTAAGCTGCTCAGAAATTAGAAAGATGGTCGAATACTCTTCAAATAATTTGATTACAACCTTAGAGCATCTTCGGCTATCTCCGGCGTATTAACGGTATACTTGGTTGCAGCACTTTTGATGCTCTTCAAAAACGGTTTATTTAGATTTTAGAAAGAACCCCGCATGAGCATTGCCCTCAGCGTTAGAGCACAAAGTACATTAATATTGTGCTCGGAATAAGAAAAAAGTAGATATACATTTCAAAGGCAATATAAATGTACGTATTTCAAGACTAAAAAATAAGCAAGTGATCACAGTGCAGTCTTACCAGTATGCGAAAATATGCATACATATTTTTGTTTTTGGATTGGCTATTATAATGTGCGGACTCTTGTATTTTGATGCCTTTCTGTCATTTCTTTTGGCCTCTGTTACTTTCAAATAACCAACAATAATAGTATGGCACAACGGGTAAGGTTTATAGAAAACGAATACTAACCCCCCAAAAAACATAATAACCAGAAAAGTAATATTGTCATTTATAGCCGTGTCACATCTGTGGGGAAAGTTTGGACACCGTTACTGGCGAGGTCACTAAAATTGACTGTAACGAAGATACGTTGAAATGCTTGGACACTACAACTGCCTCTGATAATCAATGCCGATTAGATGCGACAGAAACTAAATGGGAAATCGTAAATGGCCTCGTATCTGCATAATGGAATATCGTCTTAAACCATTTTAAATGCTTCTTATGGACAATAACCATATAAAGATCGTTAGATCCAATAATTCATTGCACAAATCAAAGAAGTAATTTAACTCCGTAGCATCAAAACAAATGTGTTCGAAGTGCGATGAATTCTTGGAGATTACTCAACCAAACAAAGTTTCATGTAGAAGTAAACGGAATTAAACTAAATCAGAAAAATAAATAGACTGCAAAGAAACTGATGATTATTGTTTGTTTTTTACAAAATATCACGATTGTGATCTGTAGAATCAAATCTCAAAATAGTTCAGGCAACGCAGTGTTTCATGGTCAGAATCACTGGACTGTGACACATAAAGGAGTAGTATCGATATGGTGAACTTTTTGAACACGCGTTTCTCTTAAACCAGTCATCAGAACATTCTGAAAATTTTACACATCGCCAATTTAATGGTCATCTTTTGGATGGTAACATTATAATTTGAAATACATTCATATACTTTTCTCTATATTGTTTTAGAAAACACGAGGCACTTCTTTTGTTCTTGGTATCATATGTTCGGAATGAAATGAAACATCTATCCGAACCTCATCGGAACAAAACGACATAAAAGTTTTTGCATACTTATTGTAAAATCAACCCAAATTTCCTTTGTGAGGTTATTGAGAGGTCTAAGAAAATGTATATGCTATTTTGTTCCAACAAGGTTCGGAAAGACAATTTATTTCATTCTCAAGAATTGGTAGAAAGGAACAAAAAACAAAAAACAATTTCACTAAAAAACAAAAAAATGTTAACAAAAACAGTTAATATATAAAATATATATAAATATTTTTTGCATTAAATTGTTGCCAATCGGTCAACATTACATAAAGGACTGTGTTATTTTAACAAAATGTTTTCAATAATTGGTTTAAGAGAAAAACATTGTTGAATTCAGTTCACCATATCGATACCTATCCTTTGGCTAATTTGTTGCAAGAGCCAAAAATGACTTTATGAGTTAGTGTTTTACTGGTTTTCTATTAATAAACTTCTCAAATCTAAATTATAATCTAAATTATAGTCTAATTTTGACTACAGTTATTGGATAACCTTCTTCAAATTGTACCAAATTGTAGGCTAATAAATTCAAATTCGGCCATTTATTTAGTCCAAATATGTTAACATCTCTTAGAAAAATTGGCCTGAACAATTCTGACATCAACAATACGTACATCTTTTATTAAGCAAAAACATTCTATGTTTGCTCATAGCAGTTTGCAGACCTCCCTGTAAGGACATTTTTCGTCATATTTATCATTTCGTCATATTTTTGTGAAATTACATACACACGATTGATTGCAAGATAAACAAAAAAACAACATGTAGTCTGCACATTTTCACAAGTGACTGCACTGATTTCGATCAACCATCACCTCCATTTTAATAGTGTCTTCTGTGGAGTACCACTAAGCCATCATTGTTAGTATTGGCCAAAATACCCTAATACGTCACTTCCGCTGAATAGGAAAAGGTAGTTCTAAAAAATGAATGTAGTCCCAACACCATTGTGATACTGACTCAAAATTGGCAAAAAATGGCTTTGGTTTTAAATTCCAACTTGAAGTTATAAAATTGTGAATTAAAGTGTACTCAATTTCCTTGATTTTGAAAATAACTGTTCATCTGTTGTGAAATATAGAATGCATATATAATATTTTGGCTGTATAACGTGATGTATCAGATGTATCATGACAAAGGCTTACCTATGTGTGAATACATATTATTATTTACACATCGATAACGTACAGTGACAAAATATACCGTCGTTAACTTCAGATGTACGGTGTCCCTATTAAATCGATTTCAAGCAAAGCCAAGACAAGACAAACACAAGGTTTGATGTAGATTTTAAAAACGTAATCTGAGGAATATATTAATGATTTCATGTTTGATTTTGTGTGTATTCGTTTAGGAAGACATTTAACTTTCTAATAACGTTGAAAGATTTTCGAACAGTGTCCGATTTTTTTTGTAGTTAATCTACCCATATAATTAGTCGGTTGGAAAGATTTTTTTTTCACATTTCATTTGATCATTTCCTCCCCTGTCGTCTAAGAGTGTCGAATATTTTTATAAGAATATGTTTCTTTAAACTACACAATTAAGGTCTGTTGAAGATTTAATAAGTATTTACATGTTGGTTACAATTTAAAAAATCATAAGTGTACGTTGTCAACTTGAATGTACGTTGTCCCATTGAACTTTCTCAATTCACAGTTAACCCTAATGCAGGCAACGTATTTTCATACACTAAAACAGATGTATTTAAAATTGAAACAAAACATTAACATAATTACTTCAATTTGATTGAACTACTGAAACTATTGAGCACTTTTCGGATATATCATAAATGGGATTTTTCAAAAGTCATATTCAATAAGCTAGCATAGATCTATCTATCAATGTAAAAAAGTAAGGTAAAGACGCCAAATAATCAAAGAGGCTGGAAGCAAAATCTGTGGCAGTCCTAGTCTTCAACATATTCTATCCCTAGACACTGAATGGGAGTTTGGGCTGGAAGCTAACACCAAATGGGCACAAATTATCCACCACGACAACAATACTTACATGACATAAAAAAGCAAAAAGCACATTTACCTTATCTTTAAAATCATCGGTACAAAGGAAACTTGAACATGCTCATTAAAGATCACTTGTTACTCATAAAAACCTTAATGAATTTTGAAATAAAATCATTACATTGTTTAATATTATATCTCATGAATTTCAACTACAGTGACAACGTACATTCGATTTGATAACGCACATTTCTGAATTTTTTAATAAATACTTGAATATTTATTAATCTCGTCCTAAATTGTGTAGTTTGGGGAAACATATTCTCGTAAAAATAGTTGACACTCATAGACGACTAGCGAGGAAATGATCAAAGGAAATGTGTAAAAAACAAGTAGACTTACCACGAAAAAAATTGAGCACTGATTAAATATCTTTTAACATTAGTAGAAAGTTAAATGTCTTCTCAAACGAATACACACTGAATCAAACTTGAAATCCTTAATGTATTGCTCAGATAATTTTTTAAAACTCACATTAAATTTACATCATTGTCTTTGCTTTAAATCGGTTAATAGTGACACCGTACATCTAAAGTGTACGACGGCGTGTTTTGTCGCTGTACGTTGTCGATGGTTAGGCGTGATAGGCGATTCTAAATTTTCAATTTTGAATAGTTCATGATGAAAATCAAGATTATTCCAGCCCGCATATGCCATATTATCTTATATACATATCTGATTACATAATCTTTTAAATCCAGCAAGTCCAGTTTCCTGATGTAGCATGGACACGTGATATTAAAGAAATCAATAAACAACGTGTATCAAGGTTTCATGTGTAGCTTGTTTTATTTTCCCGATGATAAAAATATACTAAGGTTGATTTGAATTCTGTATCAAGTCTCTTAACATTTTGATGCAAATTCAATTCACCAAAACAAGGAAAAGTGGGTGATATTGATGATAAGCCTAATTCTCTAGATTGTCCAATTGTTCATAATCTGAACCATTATTCACTCAGAAACTTTGGTAGAGTTTTAACATCTTCCACATGTTTTCTTGCATTTCTCCTGCATCATAAGGTTCTCGGCACACATCTTTTCGGAGTACATTAGTTTACAATCATTTTCTGTTCTTATGTCCTTGCATTCCCCTTCTGAAATATGATAAACAACATAATAATTGCAATGCCGGGAGAATAGTATTGCTTTGGGCTATTTCGTTCGGTGTAGTTCAAAGTTTTATGGAATTAAAGCAGGAACATTCAGTTGCACTTCATCTTCATCAACATCAAAACTCTGCAAAAGATTTCAAAATCAAATCTCTTCATATTTTGTCATGAACAACAAACGTTTTAATGCCACTAAGACTTTAATAAATATTAAGCATGAAAACATCATACGGAATGTACATTATATAAGCCAATTGCAGAATGATTTACATCATAATTCAAACACTGTGAAAAAATTGACTATAAATGTACAGTACACATATACGTCAATGGGAAATGAGAAAATAATTCATTTGGGTTTCTAGATTTTAAACTGGAGATAACCATTATGACAAGAAGTCAAATATTTATAACGAATCGTTGCTTATCATTTGATTTTAAAATCTGATAAATACTAAATTGCGAAATCTGCTCATTTTTGATGGTGGCAATAATAAATCTTAATGATTAAAGATTCATGTGGGACAATGTCGCACTTATATTTTGGTTGCAGCTATTTTCTAATATCAATAACAAATTATATTTTAAGGCTATCTATAAACAAGAGTTACAAGAGGCCATAGGTTTACTTCACGTAAAACCATCAATTATCTGAAATGGTTTGTATATATCTAAAATAAACGTGTTTTGTAATTCAGTATTGCATATACATGTATATGTATGTATGGTCCTTTGCTTGCTGAATGTTGAAGCATGATAGACATTTTCACGACACATTGTACTTTTTCAACAGCGCCATCTGTGAATTTGACCCAAAAGTGCCATGATTGATTTTTGAATGCAGATAGTATATCGAACTACATATACTTACCAGCAGCAGGGCTGTCACATAGATTACAGCTTTTCTTGCAGCCCTTTTTCACAAAATTAAATTTACACCAGCCTTTGGCGGAGTAGTCTGCACATTCATCCTCGTTGTCCACACACGCTTCTGTAATAACATGAAGATCTGTTATGTTTTGCATGTATAAGGTACCTAATAAATTTCATATAAAATGGGATTTCAAGTTTATGCATTAGAAGTCCAATGTGATGACAAAGGAAAAACAAAATAAGAGATTATAATAAAACTTGGATTACGACTGATCGCCATTTTTCTGAAAGCAAAACATATAAATATTGCGGTATCCACATTAACCGACATACCAGCCATAAGATAAACAAACCCCATATTTCCAAAAACCATGATCTAACGTAAAAACAATGTCCAATACCCCCTTTTCAAATGCTTAAAGCGAAATTTTGGTTAAAATATATGGTTGATATAAGTATTGGTTTCATCTGAATATATTATGAATGTATATATTAATATATAATATCAATGATATATTCTACATTGTGCTATCACGGCCCGTGTGCCATGTTTTTAAAAGTGTGAGAAAAAATATAAACATGTATACAGTATGTGTGTACAGTGTGACTAGAACCGAATATGATTACATTGTG